AGGATGGAGGTGAGAATGTGGTTATTTTCTATTCAATCTTTATCATGAAGGTCTGGCTCTTTGGAGTCCCAGATTAATTGGTGGAGGATTTTCTATTATATTCCTCATTTGGGAAGTTCCTGCGCTTTTATTCCCTTTAGTCTCAACCTAAATTCAGATCCCTTGCCTAGTGTGGTAGTTAATTAAGGTTTGTATGTCAACTTGGCTGGGCCTGGTTGAGTGGCTGGGCAGCTGGATGTAGTTATTCCCCATGGTGGAATCTACTGGAGCAGCTGAGTAGCTGCTTTAGGGATTGGGCTGCTTCTAGCATATAAGTAGCAGCTTTGAGGAAGTTCTCCAGCTGATGGCACTCTTGAACCCTGCAAGTAGCTGAGTCGTTGTTCAGCAGCCTCCCACGTTGCCCTGCTGAACTTGGGACTTTTAATGGACTTGAATTAATGGCCTGCCATGTTGTTTGGTAATACTGGGACTGTGCCTTTTCACTTGTCAAGCTTGGGTTTATCAGCCTCAGCAGCCAGGAACTGCCTGAGTGAAGAGATGCCTCTAGCTTCAGTGGGTCGGGAACAAGAGGTAGAGTGGAAGACCAAGGTTGAGAGGCTTTCACACAGCTCCTCGAGCCTGGCACCTGGAACTCAGACTTCTAACCTCCAGAACTGTAAGAGAATAAACTTCTGTTTGTTAAAGTCTTCCCATTTGTGGTATCTTCTGTTGGAGCGGCTCTAGGTAACTAAAACACCTAGCAAATGCCCCAAGGTAAAACCCAACTTAAGGGCTCTTTACAGTTTTTGGTTTCCACTTTCCTTTTGTTTTTGGCCTCAGGCTAATCTTTACAAAGTTGCATTAAACATGTTTTTACATTTTTATTTTATCTAATATTTTTAGTTGTTTTCCATTGGAAGGCCAGTTATGTCATCTTTGAGAGCTTGAAGTTATATTCACTTCTAAAGCTGTTGATTAATAGAAACATAACACTAAATATAACAGCAATTTTTTCTTTTAACTTTACTGAGCACCTAGTAAATGTGATATAGTATCCTAGATTCTTAAGATTCAGTAATAAAGAAAACAAAGCATTCTCAAGAATTCTATTTTAGTGAATAAAGGTATCTCATGGCAAAGAAGAAAAATAAAGCATGGTAAGGGGGATAAAATAATATTCTAAACGGGATGGTCTCTGGTAGCATAGTGGCTAAGACACTTGCCTGCTAACCAGACGGCTGGCGGTTCAAACCCACCAGCCACTCCTCGGAAGGAAGGTTGGGCAATCCTACTTCCGTAGTGATACTGCCTCGGAAGCCCAAGGAGGGGTCGCTATGAGTCAGGTTTGACTTGATGGCACATTAACAACAACAACAACAAACGGGATGGTCAAGTAAGGCCTTTTGGATAAAGTGATAGTTGAACAAAGGCCTAAAGGAAGTGAGAGAACAACATAAATGAACTGCTTAAGGAAGAACTTTCTAGGCAGAAGGAATAGCTACTACAAAACCTCTGATAAGGAATATCCTTGGTGGGTCCAAGGAACAGTAAGGGAACTGTGGCTGGAGTGCAGTGAGCAAGGAGAACAGTAGAAAATGGGATCAAATAGGCAGCAATATGCCCGATAATTTAGGGCCTTTAGGCCATTACAAAGACTTTGGATTTCACCCTGAAAGGGGAAGCCATTAAAAGTTTTGAGTGGAGGAATGCTATGATCTGATGTTAATTTGAAAAACTGCAGGGGACCAAGAATGGAAGCAGGTAGACCAGTTTGTAGGTTTTTTAAATAGCTGTGTGTCTTGGACCAACGCACTTGCACTGGAAGTGATGAGAAGTGGCTAGATTCTAGGCATATTTTGAAGGAAGAGCCTAAAGATTTTGCTAATATATTGGATGTAAAATGTCAGAGAAAAAGAAAACCAATTTGCTATATAAACTTTCACCCAAATCACAATAAAAAGAAAAAAAAAAAAACCCAGCTCACTGCCGTCAAGTCGATTCGACTCATAACAACCCCTCCTTGGGTTTCCGTGGCAGTATCTCTACAGAAGTAGATTGCTCAGTTTTCTTCCGAGGAGTGGCTGGTGGGTTTGAACTGCCAGCCTTCTGGTTAGCAGTCAAATGCCTTAGGTACTAGGCCACTAGACAGTTCTTCAAAACAGTTGCATTAAATGATCCTCTTAAAGAGATCCAGAAAAAATTTACATTTTTTTGAGTAAGCCTTACGTTATCTAAGGGAGCTCTGGTAGCATAGTGTCTAAAGAATTTGACTGCTAACCAGAATGCCAGCGGTTCAAATCCACCAGCCACTCCTCCAAAGGAAGGCTGGGCAATCTACTTTATGGTGATAATGCCTTGGAAACCCAAGGAGGGGTCGCTTTGAGTCAGGTCCGACTTGACGGCAGTGAGTTTGGTGTTTTTTTTTTTTTTTTTTTGGTACATTATCTAAAGCAGAGCTCAAACACTTAAACATGCATAGGAACCAAGTAAGTAATATGAATGAGTAGAGCTATTTTAAGAGTCCCCGGGTGGTGTAAACAGTTAATATCCTCAGCTGCTAAACTAAAAGTTGGAGGTTTGAGCTCAGAGCTGCCTCAGAATAGAGGCCTGGTGATCTACTTCCAAAAAATAAGCCATTGAAAGCCTATGGAGCAGTTTTACTTTGACACACATGGGGTCTCAGTCAGAATTGACTCCATGGCAACTGTTTTTTTTCTTTTAAGAAGTCTGAGTTCAGGGAGAAAAAGCCTGGAGAACACATGTCCTCTCAAACACATTGTCCACAGCCAATTCCTACTACATGGAAATAAAGTTGAGTCTTGCCAGATAACCTGCTTTTTCCAGGAAAGTCAGAAATTTGAATTTTCATATGAAATCTCCCAATGTTAACATGTAGTCAGTTAATCTAAATGATTTCCAAATATTTTTGTGAACTTAAAATACATCAATAGGTCAGAGTTGGCTCATGGACCAACAGGTTTTTTTTTTTTTTCACCTTTGTGCTAAAGTATATAAACATAGCATTTTCTTTTTATCCATTCAGGGCAAATTAAATGACTAATAAGGCTCATAACCAGTTATAAAGCAAGATCTAGACTCTAGTTCTTGTTCTAAAAGCAGTATTTCCTTCCCCTATGATTTCACAGCTAGTTTGCCTAACAAATGGAAATATACGCCCAGGTTAGTCAGACATGCACATTAATAATCACAATAAATTCACTGCTGTGAAGTTGATTTTTACTCATAGAGACACTACAGGACAGAGTAGACCCTATAGGTTTTCCAAGGTTAAAATCTTTATGGAAGCAGATGGCTGTGATAAATTCAGGAAAGAGGGCACAAGTTTCACACTTAATTAACTTAGATATGTGAGTCTTCTGAAACATTTTTAGGAAGAAGCTCCAGAAAATAAATTATTGATGACTAAGGAGCTCTGGAAGGAGCTCTGGTGGCATAGTGCCTAAGACATTTGACTGCTAACCAGAAGGCTGGCAGTTCAAACCCACCAGTCACTCGGTGGAAGGAAGACTGGGCAATCTACTTCCCTAAAGATTTACCACCTCGGAAGCTTAAAATGGTTGCCAAGTTGGAATCAACTCAATGGCAGGGAGTTTGGTTTTTGGTTTAAGGAGCTCTGGTGGCATAGGGATAAGGCATCTGGCTGCTAACCAGAAGGTCAGTGGTTCAAACCTACCAGCTGCTCCGGGGAAGGAAGTCGGGGTGATCTACTTCTGTAAACATTTACAGCCTTGGAAACCCAATGGGGGTCCCCATGAGTTGAAATCAACTAGATGGCAGTGAGTTTGGTTTTTGGTTTTAATCAAATCAATTGCCCATGCCTCACAAATCCTGCTTTAATTTGCAAATTCTGTGCAGAGGACACAATTCTAAGAGCTGTTTATGAAAAATTATAACAGCTAAACTGTTGTTCTTGTTCTTGTTATGTGCCATCGAGTCAGCCCCGACTCATAGGGACCCCTCCTTGGGTTTCCAAGGAGGTATCACTACAGAAGTAGATTGCCCAACCTTCCTTCCAAGGAACCCACTGCTGGTGGGTTTGAACTGCCAGCCTTCTGGTTAGCAGTCAAATGTCTTAGGCACTATGCTACCAGAGCTCCTTTAGATAAACTTAATTAAACTTTAAAAATAACATTATGTAGGCATTTTTAAATTTTGGAGAAAAGTTTTATTATCGTAGAGATGACAGAAAGCTGAATTCCAAGCATCAACTTAATTTAGTTACAATATATATTATATTCATGCATTCATTCAACATATATTGTGAACCCAGTTCCCTGTTAAGTAGGGATCAATCTGCAAGCTTACAGACTGGTGAGGGGGATGTACATTTAAAATAACTTCAAGGAAATATGAACCTGAAAGTGCTACAGGAGAGCCAAGAACTGCAGCCTCAAGGTAGATGAGCTTGGTGGGACACAGACCCAAGTGCTCTGATTGCAAGCACAGGACTCAGATTCTGTGAACTCAAAAGGGATCCTTCTTTTGTATTCCTCCTTTCAAAAACTTTATGTACTTCTTTGTAAAGCAACTTTTAACTGCAAAGTCCTAACAAATGTTTGTTATCTTCTGATTTAAGCCACCCCATCTCAACTGCAGACAACTTCTCACCTTTTATTTTCCTTTTGAGAATCACAAACTAATTTATACTTGAAAGACATGTGCAAGCAGCAGCAAGACTCGCCTATTCGAAACAGTAAAATCACTTTGGCGCCAGGGTCTGAACTTAGTTGGGTTTGCGCAAAATCTAAGCCAAATCAAAACCCACCAGTTTTTTTCTTGCGGCAGTGGTCAGAACGTGGCCTCAAGGTCCTCTCGATTTCACTGGGACCGACTTGAACTTTTTCTAGGTTTGGGCGAAGGTGATCTGAAATTAGTAACGGGGATGGCCCGCATTTCTGAGCGAAATGTTATTTATAGCTAGGGCCTGGAGAGGCCAAGCCCATGGTAGCTGTGCTGCGGCGCGGTGCCACCGTCACGCAAGCAGGTCTCACACCGCTCACCTTCACAGTCGGTCCCCGGCCACCCCTGGGCCTCCTGGCTCTGGGCCGGAACAGAGTTAGAGACCCAAATCCCGGCGCACAAGGTCATCATTGCTATTGGGCTCGCGCACCACATGCTGAGCCAGCAGTTCCAAATTCCTCCGCTACCCGCGCGCCCACAGCCAGCCCGGATGCTACCGCCGGGAGCTTTACAGAACACAAGAAAGGCGTTGGGGCATTTAGAGAGAACGTGGCCGGAGTTGCTAGGACAAATGACGCAACTCGACCATGGATTTCCATTGGCTCTCATGACAGGGGAAGACAGGGGGCGGATCCAAGGAGCCTCTTCTTTTCCCTTCCAGTCTGACGCTTGCGCACTATTCTAAGAGTGTGCAACTCCTTCCGAGTGTAGAAGGACGCACTAAAGCAATTGGTCAGCCCCTCGTAACGAAAGGCGGGACTTACACTGATTGGCAGCGACGCAGTGGGCGGGCGGGAACGTGAAGTATCCCGGTGCCTGATGGGGCTGTTCTGAGGCCGGTAGCTCTTGCTACTCTGGGACCATTCGCTACTGTTGCCGACGTCTCTGCCGCCTTATGGCGGCCATCGGCGTTCACTTGGGCTACACATCAGCCTGTGTGGCTGTCTATAAGGTGAAGGACTTGGGGAGCTGGGCTCTGGGCTTAATGTCGGCCACTCTGTTCTCTGGCCGCGAGCCAACTCTTTTGGTCTTCTACTCGGAAACCGCATGCGGAATGGCGTTACTGCGAGGGGAAGAGGCGAAGGGTCGGGCGAACCAGGCCTCGTTTCCCGTGGCCGCTTCGCGCGGGCTGGGCGGAAAGCCCGCTGCATCCTGGCGAGGTGTCGTGGCGATGTTGGCGCGCTGACCCCCAAGGACGTCAGGGCCAAAGGATGCCCGGAGGTGGGCACGGGGTCCTTGTGACGTCGCAGGCGCAGGATACCTGGAGGCGGGCGGTCCTGGCAACGCCGTAGCAGCGAGACGCGCCGAGATGGGCGCGAGGTTCGGCGATATCGGGGCCGCAGGATGCCGGGAGATGTGTGCGCGGCGGCGGGCGGGGGCGGGAACATCTGCGAGTCGGAGTTTTTTTGACTGTTGCAGAGAGGGGGCGGGGTGCAGGTGGTCTGGCTCTGGAGGAGTTACTGTCAAGAACAGTGCTTGACTGAAACGAGTTGATCGTACGTGTTGTACTATCTTGTCCTTTCTGTGTGACTTAAAGTGAGGGGGTTTTGTGGCCTTCCTGTCATCGCTGGAAAGTCGACTTCCTTGCTATTAGTCCCATGTTTAAATGTCAAATGATTTGTAAGCAAAAGCTAAAAGGATTAATACTACTTATTTTGTAGAAGAGAAAAGAAGATAAATTTATGGGGAAAGGGAGCGAAGTAGAAAGGCTGATGTGATAATAAGCTTGTTATTATACCAGGCATACCTCAGAGATATTGCAAATTCTGTCCTAGATTACTGCAATAAAGTGAATATGGCAATAAAATGAGTCATGCGATTTTTTTGGTTTCTCAGTGCATAAAGAAGTTACATTTACAGTATATTGTAGTCTATTAAATGTACAATAAATAGCATTATGAAAAACTTTGAAATTGTGAGAATTACCAAAATATGACAGAGATATGAAGTGAGCACATGATGGAAAACTGGCACCAATAGACTTGTTCAACTCAGGGTTGCCACAAACCTTGAATTAAAAAAAAACAAAACAGTGTATGCCCATCACAGTAAAACAAGTATGCCTGTATATAAAAAGATGATTAGGCTTAATCTGATTATTGGTTCTACAGAACAGACTGAGAAAATAAGACAGTTGTTCATGGAATGTAGGCCTTTTATAAAATCGAAATTAATAATGGTGATTATCTACAAGTTTAAAGTAATGAGACAGCAGTTAACCCCCATATATGGCATAGTAACACTGACCAACATAAATCTGATAAAACTATGTTTCAGTTCTAAACACTTAATACAGTTGTGTATTTTTATCCAGGATGGCCGAGCTGGTGTGGTTGCAAATGATGCAGGTGACAGAGTTACTCCAGCTGTTGTTGCTTACTCTGAAAATGAAGAGGTACTAGTCCCCTCATGTTTGTACTTTTAAAGAATTAAAAATTACATGCATTGTAATATTTTGCTCTTTTTCAGGTTGTTGGACTAGCAGCAAAACAAAGTAGAATAAGAAATATTTCAAATACAGTAATGAAAGTAAAGCAGATTCTTGGTAGAAGGTAAGGAATGAAATAAGACTTTTACACGTGGCAATAAAATTGTTTACAAATTTTAAGCATAATGTGAAATGCAACTAGAAACACCAGTTTGTCCTTTCGTTGTTTTTCATGACTGAGTTATTTCAGAGAGTACCCCCAGTAAACTGTTTTTTTAATTTGTTTTTGGGTCTTCTTGAGGATGGCATTCACTCAGAGGTGGGTTTATTGCTGACAGGTTTGTTAGTATTGTTAACTGCCAATACTCATTTTTGATATTTGAGTCATTCACGGGGTAATTTGGAGTTTTCACATTTTTATGTTTTTTTTTTCCTCTGAAGAGATTTTGTGGAAATTTGAAGACTGCACTAGACATGGACTTTACAAAACCAATTATAATTGATCATAATTTATTTAGAAGCTATTGATACTTTGTGATACTTTCTTGGAATGAACTTTTCCAGTTGGCTTGCAAATTTAATAACTAGAAAAATTAATTAATGTCTTAGAAATCAGGTTAATCTTGTAACTTTAATTAAAAGATTAAAGAGGATTGCTTTTCCAGACTTCTGTTTCCTCAAATTAGAGATTACCATAATAATTAGAGGTTTTTGTTTTCTTTAGAGTAGTAATACTTGATACAGTGTTTTTAAAATTTCAAAGTGCTTTCACATCTATTATTTTATTTAATCCTGTTAGCATCCCTGTAAGATTGGTAGGACAGGTATTTTCCCTCCCCGTTTATAGATAAGAAAATCAAGGCACATAGAAGTTGGTAGCATTTCTAAATTAGTTAGGGAGTGAACTAGATAGTACTTCAGGTCTTCTAACTCTCAGCCCCAGATTCTTTCCTTTGCATTTGATTCATTTGAGAATTTAAATAGAAATTTGCTTGTGTGTGTGGTCCTGGGTTTTGGGAATTATAAATTAATTTTAGGAGCTTTTATTAATTTACCACCTGTCTTTAGTTAAACTGAACTTGATATTAATTCTTTTCCTTAGGATATTGATGCACTAAACCAAAAACAATAAAGTATTTTGGAGAGAATTCAAATCTTTGTGATGATAATTGTACTTTTATACGCTCACAAAATTTAGTTCTGAGCATATTGAAAATAAATCAGTTGGTGTCAAAAAATTCTGTAAACTCCTGAAAAAAAGCTGAGAGTTAAATGTAAGTCTTAAAACTAGAACCACTGTTAGCAGCCAACAATATGTTTTTGTTTGTTCCTATCATGCTGCTATTTTCAGACAAATGGTCAGAATAATGGTGTAGCTATCTTCTGCCATATTATGTAGAAAGCTTTGTATTAACATTAACAACTTAAGCTTATTTTTCTGGCTGTGAAAGTGACCCTTTAATAAAGTTCCATAGTGATAGATGGGTAGGGTAGCATATGGCCACAGCATGCTACCTAGGCCAAGGTTAGTAAAGAATGAGTCCCCTTCAGATATGTTGTCACAACATGGTCCTGCTAGTACTACTCCAGAGCTAGCTGCTCCTTGGTCCAGGTTATCTCCCCCCTTAGTCCATCTACTTACCAGGCCAGTGGTGATTTTTATAGACACAGTTGTACCATGTTTCAGCCTTGGAAGCATTCACCCCTATATGGAGGAGCCAGTCCTTTTGTTACCAAACCAGTAAGGCCTTTATTAGCTCCTGGACTAATACCCATCCTAGGCGAACTCCCAAAATTAGGCTTTCTCAGTCTTGGCATCATGCCTCTATATGAAGTACTCACAGGTAGCTCCATTTAACTTGCTACCGAAGTTATCCTTACACCCTCCCTGTAACTCTTCATTCCCCTGTGGCCTTCCAGCCAGAAATGCGGTCCTTGGACCTGGCTTCTCAGCAATTAGCCCTGAGAGGGAAGAATCGGCTGGCTCATGGAAATGTACTGAGAGCACACAGAGCTTCCCCACACCTTCAAATTTGCACTTGCTGTCCAGGAGCTTCCTTCAGCTAGCCTTCCTTCCCATTTCGTTATGGCCAGTACCAATAGCAGTGCGGGCATCCGGTGGTCCAGACAGGAGACACGAACTCTTCTCTCCATACTAGGCGAGGCAGAGTACATTCAGCGCCTTCAGACTGTGCATCATAATGCAGATGTCTATCAGGCTGTGTCTAAGCGAATGCAGCAGGAAGGCTTCCGCCGCACCGAACGCCAGTGCCGCTCCAAGTTTAAAGTTCTGAAGGCATTATATTTAAAGGCATATGTTGCCCATGCCACACGTATGGGTGATCCACCACACTGTCCATTTTATGATACGTTGGATCAGCTTCTCCGAAATCAGATAGTGACTGACCCAGACAACTTAATGGAGGATGCCGCTTGGGCCAAGCACTGTGATCAGAATTTAGTGGTCTCTGATCCTCCCAGGGAAGAGGGAACCAGCATTCTGAAAACAAAAAGGACTCAGGCAGCAAATCATCAGCCTATCTTGAAAACAGTTAAGGAATCAGATGAGGATTGTCAGCTGAGACTCAGTGACCGGATACGAGAAGCCAGTGACCTTGAGGACTCCTGGGATGAATCCTCGGGTGCAGGTAACTCCCAAGCATGTGAAGGATTGGGGTCCTGGAGCAACTTGGTTCTAAACAGCAGTATGTTTGGGTAGTATCCCTGTATAGTCCCAATTTCTGCCCTCCTTCCCGTGTTTTTTAACCTAATGGTAAGATAAAGGGCTCCAGGTTTTAAAAAACTATAAACCTAGGTATTAGAACTCCTTAGACATAGAAGAAGTGCTCTTGGGAACCAAACTAGTTTTGGCATTATGTATAATGGGTACTTAGGAATTTGTAGATATGGAGTGGGTTGGATAGCTACGTGGAAAGGGTTTCGGGAAGGTTGAGGGGGAAGTTTTGGAGGTAAAACGTTCAAGTTAAGGAAATGAATTCTTTCTAATTCCTTGTTGAAAGAGACTTTGCCAGGAACTACCACAGTTTTGTAATTGTCTCTCAACTCTGCTGCTGGCTCCAAACATTCCTTTAGCAGGAATGCCCTTGTTGCAACATTGTTGCTTTGTTTTTCAGGGTGCTCTCAAGGGACCCCCAGCTACAGCAGCTCCCACAACCTTTTCAGAGGAGCAGTTGCTCCCTGTCAGAGCAGCACTATCAGCAGACTGGGTGTGTCCAGTGAGCCCAGTCCCTGCACCAGCACCAGCCGAAACACTCCTGGTGTAGCCTCCACACAGCGGCCTCAAGTCTCCTCTTCCAGAGTTCGTTTTGTTTCTGGTGGAGATAGGCCTTTGACCAGTGAGCCACCTCCAAGGTGGGCAAGGCGAAGAAGGCGTTCAGTGGCCAGGACTATTGCTGCTGAACTGGCAGAAAACAGGAGATTGGCTCGAGAACTTTCAAAGCGTGAGGAGGAAAAATTGGACAGGCTGATTGCTATTGGTGAGGAGGCCAGTGCTCAGCAAGACACTGCCAATGAGCTTCGCAGGGATGCTGTGATCGCAGTCAGACGTTTGGCAACAGCAGTGGAAGAGGCAACTGGTGCTTTTCAGCTAGGGCTTGAAAAATTGCTTCAAAGGTTAATTTCTAATACCAAAAGTTAGGTACTGATTACAAAAGGGTATATTTCCTAAACTAGTAGAAGTCTAGTCCTAACACCTGCCTTCTGGTACTCTGGCTCCTTTTCTGATACATCTTGTCCTTGGGGTGGGGTGAAGGGAAGTAGATAGACCATTAATATGCAGGGTTATAGCAGAATACATGCTAATTCCCTTTTCAAAGATTCTCTACTAATTGACCTAGAAATTTGAGGAGTGGCCTGATGGAAAAAGGATTGGCCAAGTCTGGAGAGCTAGTTAATTCTGGCTCTGTCACTGATTTCCTATGTGACACAAGGCGATTTAGTTTACTTCTCTATAAGTTCCCTCATCTGCAAAATGGGGAATAGATAATATCCTTGACCTGCCTACCTCACAGGGTTGTTGTGAGGATCAAATGGCTAATAGATGTGAAAGGGTTTAAAAGTTTAAAAGCACTATACACATGTAAGTTATTAATGCATATGACCTTGGCTGAGGTAAGGCTAGGGTGAGGCACATTAGTTTGTAAGATTTAGAAGTATGGTAGCATACCATGACCTCATTGCTTGAACCCTTCTTTACTAGTTTAATTCTCTATTTGACTGCTTCGTGGAGTTTGAGATCTTCCTTTTTTTAATCCCTTTGTCACTTATTTGAAGGAGCCCTGGTGGTACAGTGGTTAAGTGCTCAGCTGCTAGTGAGAACGTTAGCAGTTTAAACCTACCAGCCACTCCGTGGGAGAAGGATGTGGCAGTCTGCAGACTTGAAAACTGTATGGGCAGTTCTACTCTGTCCTGTAGGGTTACTGTGAATTTTGATTAACTCAAGGGCAATGGGTTTGGTTTATAGCTCATTTAACTAAAGTAGACAAAATGTATCTCTGTACCTTTATGTCTTATATTTTCATTGTTACATCTCTGCCATGTCTACTAGTAAGCACTCTTAATACCCAGACCATCTTTCCTTCTTTCTTTTACTAGTTCTTAATCTACCAATATACAGTATAGAAAAGAACTGGCAGGGAGTCACAGTAGTGTGTTATGGTTCATTTTGATAATAGGCTTTGATAAAAATGGAATATTGGCTGTTTTATAAACTAGTAAACATGTAAATTCTTTACATTTCCTATTATTTGAGTCCCTTTATGTGTATAAGTGTATGTCATTAAGTTTTGGTTGCCATTTGAATATTGTGGAAACAGTTGAGACTGTATCAGCATCTCAATCTGCTTTTAGCTAATTTCATTCTTTTCTGTTAGCTGTTTTTCAATACAGTATGTTTCTAGGAATTGTCAAAAGTCATTTTTTCTCAGATGGTATAGATAAAATTCACCTAGTTGATGGTATATGGTAAAAGGAAAGAGCTTTGTTGTTTCTCCTTTAGCTTTGGGAACACTTGAGGGTGCTGTGGATAGACTGCCTGCAGTAGATAATTCCTTTTAACAACAACCTCAACAAATATACTCCCCCTTCCCCCTTTAGGAGATATGAAGGTACTTAACCACACTTCCAATTTACTTTAGAAAGAAAGGCATTACTGACTATCATTGAACTAACTGAAAGCTTTTAGTGGTTTACTTTGTACTTGCAAGAAATACAAATAGGAGGCACTGGAATTTAAAAAGTTTTCCTACAATTTAGAGCCTTACAAAAATAGAGGGTATGTTAGGAAAGTTGATTTGTTTTATATTTTATAGGCTTAGGTGCTTAACTAATGCTAGAAATACAAATAGGTTAAGTGGTTAAAAAATCAGTGGGAATGTACCTGGAACTATGATTACATGGCAAACAAGCAGCTGCTCTGATGAATGGGTGATAGGTGTGGGAGGTAGCAGGTGTGGTGGAATACATTGGAATCTAGTTAAACTCTTGGGTTCATATCCTGGCATGGCTTGTTACATTGGGCAAATCAGTTGCCCTTTTGTACCTCAATATCCTTATCTTGAAAACAAGGGATTTGTACTAGATGAGTTTTATAGTACCTTCCAGTTCTTTAAAAAAAAAAAAAAATCTGGTAAGTAACAGCAACAACAACCAAAAAAGTTAAAAAGAAAATAAAATTTTAATTGTAATATTTTCAGTCACAGCAACATGTTAACTTAAGTTTGAAATACTGGAAATACTTGTGTTTTAAGGAAACATTGTACCACATTAATGTTTATTAATATAGTCATGAACTAAGTATCACACTAGACACAGATTCCTTGTTTTAAAGGAACAGTGCTTTTAAAGAATTGAAATAAGAATGGTGATATATGTACACATATTTTCTCAATATTTCTAAGCTGTCAAATGGAAGGATAAGTGAGTGTCATTATAACTGGATAAGACTAATATAGATAAGTAGACTTTCTGGAAAAGCAGAGAGAAGTCCCTGAAGGAGAATTAGGCCTGTACTACATTAATCTATTATACATAGCCAGAAAGAAGTGTTAAAAATAAGAAATGGAGTTAAGCCTTGGAGGTAATATGAAAATCTAATGGATGAAGAGATGTTAATGTTGTGGGGAAAGACTAAAGAGAAAGGTGCTGAAGGAGTAAATAAAACTAAGCTAAAAATACTGTTCAGAGGAGGGAAGTTGCAATAGGAGAGGCAATATGAAAGCAAGCAAGCCCAGGAATCCTTCCTAAGTTCTAGGCCAAACCATTACTAGCTGTACAGCCTTAGGCAAGTCATTTTTACCATTTCTGTAACTCAGGTTCCTCTTCTACAGTGGGAAGCTAATAAATTGTTCTACCTACCTCACAGGGATGTTGTGAGGATCAAAGGAACAGATGAGTGTAAAAACACTTTTCAATGGTTAAGGCACTATTATGTAACTAGTCGAGAACAAGACTCTGTAGTACATTAGTGCTGGTGTGTGTCAAGTCTGTGGCCTTACTGACTGTGTAAGAGACATTTTAAGGAGGGAGGAGGAAGAGAAAATGGCATTGCTAGTAAAAGTACAATGGTAGGATTAACTCTGCTTCCTAAAAGATAATGATGTAAATGAGGTGCTGGATATACCAACCCCTTGCCATCTTTGTTTTTCTGTTAAGTAATTTAATCCTGGTGTGGAAAATAAAAGTTTTGACTTGTATGTAGTTGTGGGTCAGTCCACTGTTTTCTCATGATATCCATGATCATTTGTCACCTTCATTCTCTGCTTTCTGCTAACTAGTATCCAGTGTCTCCTAAGGGTTACCTGTGTATCCTAAGGGTTACCTGTGTGTTCTGTCTTCACATGAGAGAACTTTGCATGGCAGTTGAGAAATAACTTTCCATTTCTAAAAGTTCTATAAATTTCATATAATAAATTCCTGGCAAATTATCTTCTCCAAGTGGTAGATCACCTACACAGAATAAATGATCTATTTATTCTCTTCTAAAGAAAATGGAACTGATAAGTGTCATGCTGAAATTACAGTATTGGTGCAAAACATTATTATGATGTAGATCCACTTCTTTTTTTCCCCCTACTCTTGAAATATTTGTCTGGGATGTAGTTTAAACATTGGGTTTATAAAAAGGGAAGAATGGAGGATTTAATGAGAAAAATGCCTGTCTTCGTATTGAAGGTCTAGAGGCCTGTCAGTTCTGACATTAATTAGCTTCATGACTTTGGTCAAGCCACTTAACTTGTTTTATATCAATCAGTGATTTTTACATGATAAAGAAGGAAATATGAGGAATTTGCAAGTGTTCCAGACCAAGTTCTAAGCTGAATTAGTCAATTTTAAAGTTTTTTGTCTTCCTCTTTATACAGTTAGGGTTCTCAGATGTTCACTAACCCTTTAGCAGTTATTGTTAGGTGCCATTAAGTCAATCTGGACTCATGGCGACTCCATGAGACTGAGTAGAACTACCCTGTAGGGTTTTCTTAACTGTAATTTTTACAGAATCAGATGGCCAGGCCTTTCTCCCTTAGAGCTGCTGGGTAAGTTTTAACCGTTAACCATTTAATTAGTAGCCAAGCACCTACCATTGTGCCGCCAGAGCTCCTTCAGCTATTAATTGTCACTATTAACCTTCAACTCCTCTTAGTAAAGATTTAAGGCTGGGCCCTAAATAGAATAGACCCAGCTCCTTGGAAGAAGTATTTCATGTAAAGGCATTAGTCTAGTTCATTTTGACTGGTAGATAAAGGTAAGCCAAAGATCAGAGAGTCTTATCCCTATTATAGAGGCAGTACTTTAATCATTTACAGTTTTACTGGGAGGCTGTGTGGTAAACTAGCCTCATTGAGAAGACCTGGGCCAAGTCCTAACTGCCCCTTACTAGCTTATAAGTCACAGGCTTTTCTGAACCTATTTAAAATAATATCTGCCAAACTAATTGCACTTAGGTGTGAAGATCAAGTGAGGCAATATATGTGAAAACATTTTGTAGGCAGCATAAATTAGTGTTACTGTTTTGAGCTACATAACACCTATTGTTTCAGTTTTTACATTACCATAATACATTTGTTTACTACCCACTTTGTATAGGACATTATAAATCTATCTATAGTACTCTGCACACTGGATTCACCCTCTTAAAACCTTTCCATGTACAACATTTATATTTTCAATTTTTTTAATCACAGATATTTTTGTTCTTAATAAATCACTCATGGGAAAAATCACCCCAAAATGTACACTGTTAATAGCAAAGTCAACAAGAAAGAGCTATTACTTTCAAATGTAATGATAAACATGTTAATAGAATTAATACAAATCATTTATTTAATCCTATCTTCCATATTTTATTGAACAACTTAATGTTTTTTGTTTATAGTTTCATGTTTATTCAGGATATTAAAAATAATCTTCTTTAAACCTTACATATCTGTAGTACTGATTTTAATACTCAGCTTTCTTTACTTTCTTTATGGACAGCTCTGATGATCCACAGGCTCAGAAATACATCGCAGAAAGTAAATGTTTAGTGAGTATGGTTCTACTATTATTTCCCTATTGCACAAACTAATTGCCAAGGTTATGACATACAACATTGCTTTGAAACTTTATGTTTTTATTAAAATGATTCCTTATTTAGCATAATTA